CGTAAGGTTACCTATCGTTGGTTACGCGAGATTATAGATTGTGGAGCAACCGCGTCGCAGTCATTCTTTTCCCAACATTTTTGGTGGTGACTGTGAGATCCGAAAAAGTAAAACGACGTTCGTTACCTTCCCACATTCGCTAAATAAATCGAATAGACTTACATCCCGATCTGCTACTTAAGTGGCATAAGTGGTACGATCATTGTTATTGCATCCTTGCGCACGTGATAATCATAGAGTGTGCCGATTACCCTGTCCGGTTGATTCTCGACGTACTGAGACTGCTGTGGTTATCGTTTTCCAACTCTCCCGACATACCGTGGATAGTTGAGTTATTGTTGTGTTCCGGTTTGAAGTTCAAGAGGAAGAACTCGAGCTGTGGTTATTGAGTCCAGTGTCCCAACTTACTGAGGATACTGTGAAGTCAATTTCGAGGGACCTGTAAGCCGTGTAAAATAAGCCTGGTACTGGCATGTAAGTAGGTACTGCGTGAGGAGAAGAAACGGTAAGAAATTAGTTAGTAATAGAAAGTTGCCTCTTGATGATGGTTCGGGGAAAGAAATTTCAAGAAGCAGCAAGCATGGACCATGTTGATGACATGTATAACCTTGGTTATTGCTGCCAAAATGGAATCGATGTTGAAAAGGATGAAACCGAACTCCCGACCAATGGAATTGGAGATGAACTGGATAAACCCAAGACATTCGACGACCTCCAAGAATCTGCTGGTGCAGATCGACCTGACGACGTTGGACCCTGCTATGAGGGAATCGGTGTTGAAAAAGGTGAGACTAACACATTTGAATAGGACTTGAAATCGGCAAAAGGTCTCGACGAAGCCTGCGAAGAATGGATTAAAAGGGTTAGTGAGTTCAAGAAAATGATCAAAGAAGACTTAAAGACGATAAAGAATCCATACCTAATCGTTCCCGGAGAACCTCCTCCACCTACCAACCCAAATATGGTTCTTGGATATTGCCGCCAAAATGGGATCGATGCCGAAAAAGATGAAACAGGCCCACCGACCAAAGGAATTGGAGTTGAATTGGATGAACCTAAGTCATTCGATGACTCCCAAGAATCTGCTGGTGCAGATCGACCTAACAAAGAAAATAATGTTGGATCCTACTACCCAAATAGAATTGGTATCGAAAAGAATGACCATAATGCATTCGTTTATTATCGAAAGACTGCAGACATGGGTGATGCTAATAGAACATATCTTATTGGACCCTGCTATGAAATTGGTATTAGGAAGGATGAGAATAAAGAAATAAGAGTTGAAAAGAAACTACCGACGATTTACCTGAAACATGCGGAAAACGATAATCCGGATAAGAAGCATGGTCTTGAACTCTATCAACAAAATGGAACGGGAACTGAAAAAGACGATTGTAAGCCACTCACCTATTGTGGTTAGTAAGTCAGAATCAAGTGAATTGGATCAAAAGGACATAGAAAACATACCCGATGATGAAACCGGCGATAAAAGTGATCGTGAGACGTTAGTCGATAACGATGATGGAAATGATGAAAGATTAAATAATAACATACCTGAAAGATTCCTTGAAAAAGAAGCCCTGCACCAACTTGCTGAAGGAACATTTAAGAGGATCGATGCTGAAAAGGACGAAGCATTAAAATGGTATATGAAAGGCGCTGAAGATGGCATCACGAACAGACAATTCGACCCGGGTGGAACTTGCAATCAGAATGGTATCGGTACCAGGAATGCAAGTTGAAAATAAATGAACGTTAGCAGCTCACGGAAGAAGATCATGCGTGAGACGCATGACTTAAGCAGGAGGGAAATGTGAAACCCAGAAAACGTGATGTATAGGCCGAGACGATTACGTGAAAAATGCACAAAATGCAATTAATTACATTTCGGATCGTAAGTTGCATTTCGGATATAGAGGGGCATATGAGAGGTAAAAGGGGAGAATATAATAGAAATTAAGGATTCTTAAAGATAATGAATGTAAATAGTTTTATTAAATATTGAATATAATATGGGGCGCAATTAAGTATTATAAATAAAGGCCGAAATGGCCCTTAAGAGAGATATGTCTCGTTTGCTTTATTAAATAACAAGTCCCAATTCTATAAACTGCACAAAAGTACACTGTCCTTACCCCGATTATAACCCTATAAACCCTAGAGACATCGTTGTCCACTCAAGTTCTTGCTCACGTGACTTACCCTGCTTGTCTTCGTTGACCCTAAGTAACCAAACGCCTTAATCACCCACCAGCCAAATCTAACACGCCTCTTCCGTAAGGTTACCTATCGTTGGTTACGTGAGATTATAGATTGTGGAGCGACCGCGTCGCAGTCATTCTTTTCCCAACAGTACCCTTTCATATAATATTTATATAAAGAATTTAACTAATTTTAACCACCCGTAATATAAATTTTTATACTTTATAGTTAAACTTAAATTTAAAATTAGGTTTAGGGCTAGGTTAAGGTTAGAGAGTGTAGATATATGTAAAATTGTGAGCTGTAAACTTTTATTTAAAAGCTTAAAGTAGGTTTACATAATATTTTAAAATTTTTTAATTTTTTAATTTTTAGCCTTTGTTTTTGTTACACAAGATCCTGTGATTTAATTGGCTAATCATATATGCGAGTTATGTAACCAGGGGTAGTGTTGTTAGGCAAAACCTAGAGGTTTTGCCATTGGCAAAAGTCAAAACTAAATGGCAAAATGGCAAAACTGGCAAAACTGGCAAAACTGCTAAAATGTGAAAAACACAATAAAACTATTAAAGAATAAAAAAAAAAACTAGTAAAGAAACAAGAATAGAAAAGTAATTAAAAAAATTTAAAATCTTTTTATCTAATTATC